TGCTGCTCTCTCAGGCAGGGCCTCACTCTGCTCGTGCTCGCCCAACGACAAGGCCGAGCGCATATTCAATGCCCGGTTCCGCGTCCTTCTCCTCCGGCGGCTGCGCCTGCTGGGCCTGGCCTCCGGCGCCCGACACAGCTTTTGCCTTTGTGCGCGCCTACGCGTTGCAGACCTGTTCACGAGCAGGTGCGGCCGAGCCGCAGGAGTTGCTTCACATCCGGGCGGCATGCCGCTTCGCGGGGCCGGTGCTCGACTTCGCGGAGCTGCCCCATGCCCGCATGCATTGGACCGCATACCGCGTTGCCTCGCCGGAGCACCGATGGCATCGAGGCATGGCGACCCCAATGGATGTGCATGCGCTGCCAGAACGAGTTTCACTTGTAGCGTATGCGTCCCGGTTCCGACCCCCGCATGCCCCGGGTGTTTGACGCCGATGCTTTGGGAGGCGGACCTCGCGAGACATGCACGTGCACACATGCCAGCGCCGGTTGTCGTAACCATCCGAGCTGGCAGTATAGTCGCCCTCCGCAAGCACAATGGGCGTGTGCGGCCCTTTGTCGTGGACGTGCTGCGCCGCTTGGTCGGGCACACGGCGCATCCGAGCTCCAAGCCGCCTGCATTCTGTGTCAGTATGGCCTCAGCCCCCGCGCAGGCACGGAAGCGCTGGTCCGTCTCCCTTTGCGTGCGACGGTGTTGTCCATGGACGCGGTGGGAGCCTTTGACCACGACTCCCGCCACTCGATGTTCGCTGGTCTGCAGCAGAGAGGCCGAGCCAGCAGTCTTTGCTGCCCTGCGTCCGCCAGTTTTATGCCACCGACCGCACATACGTCTGGCATGACGCTCAGGGCAACCCCCACGAGGTTAGGCAGCCCGAACAGCGCACATAGTTTTTCCGGTCTACACTCGATGATCTCCGGATCGGGAGGCGCGTCGGGCTCCGGGGGCCGATTATATAGTGGGGTCGCGAAACTCGCGAAGGGTGTCGGGGGAGCCAGGCGCGAGAGGTTCGGTGACCAAGCCCGTGCGGCGGCCGACAGTGCCGCAAGATGGACGAGAGCAGTGGCTTTCGCAGCACCATCGTCGCTCGTCTGGCGTTTCGCAAAGGAAGGGAGGAACAGCCACGAATCCAATCCCCGGTCCCTGGCGGCACGTAAATTTGTTCCACACCAACATGCTTTTTCTGACTTTGCATGATTACGACGTGCGTCTGAACGGCATGTGCGCGAGTTATCAGCGTAACGTTTGCTGCATTCATCGGGCACGCTCGTCATGGAGTTGGAAACGTTCACGATGGATTTCGTGCCGCAATGGTGAGGCAGCATTGGCGCCGATTGTTTGACATTTTTATGTTCTTTTCCACAAGTGTTGTGACCTTCGGGGATATGAGTGTTGAGGGTCATGGTCCAGCGTGGATGTTTCGAAGCGTCTCCATACGAACATATACGAACTGCTTGAGTACGCAACTGCTGAGCGGTGCTCGGGCACGAGTGGGTGTGGGTCGAGTCTGTGAACGTTGCAGCATGTTGCAGCTGCCCGTACAGAGGGGGCTATGTGCATGCGCCGCCTCCGCATGCCGCTCCCCCTGGCACCGAAGCGATGCAGCTGTGGGGGGGCATTGGAGGAGTATGGAGACCACAGGTCAGCGTGCGCTCACGCGGGGGTGCTGGCCCAGCGAGCTGATCCCCTGGAGCGCGCAGCGGCACGCGTTTGCCGAGAAGCAGCAGCACGCGTAGCCGCCAGCACTGCGCTCCACGACATGACTCTGGACCTGCCCGCCGGTGATGCGCGGCGCATAGAGGTCGTCGCCAACGGACTGCCCATCTGGCGGCTGTCGACGTCAGCGCAGTCCAGCATCGCGGGCAAGCATGCGCCGGGTGCAATGCTGTCGGAACGCGCGCTGCGCCTCGTGCCCGCCCCGCAGCTGGACGGGTTTCGTGAATCTCCCACGTAACCGTGAGCTTGCAGCACACGCAGCAAATTCTAGATGAAGTGGTTCGTTGCGCTGCATTTGCACCGCGCCTTCCCAAAACAGCCACGGCCAATGTGGCACGCTGGACGACTGCTTCGACCATGATTCCAAAGCATTATGTACTTTGGAAGCTTGTGCTTTCAATTGCGTGTCGTGCAACGTGGGGTGCACTTAATGTTGTCGATGGGATGAGGCGGGTTGCGGTCCCTGGGGCACGTAAGAAATGCATCGCGAATAGAATGAACGATTGCCCCTGCGGCCCACAGTTTTGAGCCTGACATTGAATTCTTCTTTGCGTCCCGGAGTGGTTAATTAGTGGAGAGGCCTCCGCATCCTCCTTGGGTTGCCCGCGCCCGCTGCGGAGGCCGTGGGCGAGTTGATGCGTTGGGGGACCACTTCGCGGCTTGTCCGCGCACCGGTCTCTCAGCACAACGAGGCTTCGTGCTCGAGCAGGCGTGGGTGCAGGTCGCGCACGCGCGAGGCGGTCGGCCCGGTGGCTCGCCGATACAAACGTGCGGCCGGATGACCGACGGCGCCTTGATCTCGTCATCTATGGCGCAACCCAGCGGCGAAACCCTTTGCGGTGGCGCGACGCTTTGCGGGATGGCAGACCCACCCGCGGCGCCGCTGACCGCACTGGAAGCCGCTGCGCGATGCAAGCGTGCGCGCTACTCTGCACTTTCCTTCCGGGTGGGCACAGCGGCCTGTGCGTGTTGGCTGCCGAAGTCGCAGGGCGCCGGAACGACGAGTCCCAACGCTTGCGGCTGAACGCGTCCCGAGTGATGCCGAGACAGTTTCGGACACGCTTAGCGTTACTACCCCTTTCGCCTAGCCCCGGGACTTTGACCTGCTTGCACAGGCTTGGGAGGTGGGCCGGACGTTGCTTGGAGCAGCGGCGCCCCCATGGCAGATGGCAGGTGCCCCCACACAGGCCCCGAGCACGTAACTCGAGGCTGTATGTCCCCTTGCTCCATGCGTCCGCCGGGTCCCTGAGTGGAGGCGCCGAGGGTATGTGGCGTGCGTTTCCGGGCGCTGACCCGCGATGGAGCCAGCTGGTGGGCGCCTTGCGCGAGTCGGGGCCCGGACATCCTGCAGGCCGTGTGCGCTGTCGCCGCGGCGGACTTCCCGAATGAGCCCGTCGCGCCTGACGCGCAGGCCGTGGTGGCCCAGCGCTGGGCCTCCACGACAAGCGCAGCGCAAGCCCCCCCTGCCAAGCGTTTGTGTGACGTTGACTTGGCGTCTGAAGCTGAGAAACGCGTTTACACGTTCCAGTCGCCCCCGCGGTGTCGGGGCCTCCCCCGAAATGATGAGGGTAGCACTCGAGGCGGTCCGTGATGACGAGGCGGGGGTAGGGGCGTGCGACGGTTGGGCCTCGTTTCTCCTCGCGCCGCGCATGCTGCTTCTTCGAGCGCCCGGCCAGACCCGTGTCCCGGCATCCGAGTTTCGGCGCAGGGAACACTTGTTTTGCACTGGGCAGTCGCTGCAACTTTGGCGCGAGAGCGCTGACGCCGCCCAGGAACGGCGCGATGGGACGTGGTGCGGCTCCGACGCCCCGGAACACTCCGAGGCCGACCGGAGACGCCGCGCTGAGAGGGCAACAGCCCTCGCACACGTGGGCGAACTGTCCGCGGCGGCGAAGGCTCTCACGGCGCCCCCCCTCGCGCCCGCTACGCAAGCGACGTTGGACGCCCTCGGGACCCGCGCAGACGACCACAGACTGACCAGGTCCCGCTTGCCGCAGACTTGCGCCTGCCGACCGTTGAGCAGGCCCAATTGAGTGCGGACCGGCTATTCGCCAACCTGCGTCGCGCGCGGCGGGGCGCTGCAGCAGACGGCCTGTATGCGTTCCTCGACGATGTCTACCTCACATCCGATCCAGAGCGCACCCTCGAAGTGCCCAGACGTGCCTGCCGAGGCACGCCGGGCACGCCAATGGACACATCCACCTCGGCAAAACCAAGGCCCGGAACCTAGCCGGGGAGGAGCCTGCCGGCTTAGTCGAAGCGATCCCGTTGGCGGAGGACGGTTCATCGTGTTGGCGCGGGGACTGGAGCTTACTCGTGGCGCAGCAGGGACATGCAGGGACTGGTCGTCCTGGGCAGTCCGTTGGTGCCCGCGAGTTCGTCGCAGCAAAGCTTGAGGAAATAAGCGCCAAACACGAGGCTTGTTCGCCCGGTTGCCGGACGTGCAAGACCTGCAGTGCACGTGGCCGCTGTTGCTCTTGCCGCCGGCGGATACAGTCTCCTTCGCGGAGGCGCATGACGCTGCAGTGCCTGGGCAGGCTTTTCTCAGGGGCGGATGACGCGCTTGTTTTGACCCCGACCGGCATGCCACGGGACCGGACTTCACCGTACCCAGCGACGAGTTCCGGATTCTGCTCCTGAGCCGCTAACCGCGCTCGATGTCGCCTCGTCGTCCTTCGGACTGGAAGTGGGCGGCCGCTTCGGAGCAGAGCCGCTCGGCTTCATACGGCGCTTGGCGCGGGCACGCGGCGCGACGCGCGCAGCGTGGAGCTCGGGTCGGGCTTTGGCTCGCCGATGGACGGGTCTCGCTGGACGGGTCTCGTTTCGTTGGCGGCGCTGAGAGCCCACGTGGCCACGTTGCTGGAGCTGCCGGTCCACCCTGTCGACGCCAGTGACGGCACCGAGGTGCCGGTCGGCGACCTTCTGGCGGAGCTGCCGTAGTGCAGGATCGTCGCTCGCCCGTCTAGCTTGATGGGCTGTTAGCGACGACATGGTCGAAGTATTGACTGCAGGCGACGTTCACAAATACTTGGGACGACATATCAGTGCAGATCCTCGATGCCGCAGTCAGACAGAACTCAAACATAGGTTCCAGGTGGGATGGGCAAAGTTTCGCAAACACCGTCATATTCTTACAAACAAAAGCCATTTTGGCTCAAGCCATTTTGGCTCAAGGGGACTGTTCTCTGCTCTGTCGTCGTCCAACAGGTTCCGGGCCTTTTTAACGAGGTTCGCTGTGTAGTAACGGGCCTCCGGGGGAAGCTAGCCACGGTAGGTGCGCTTCGTGCATGGTGGCTGTGACACTCTTGCTAGGCGGCGTGAAACTTCAGGGGACCGAGGTTGACGGACACTTCCTGGTGCCGGCGGAAAGCTTTTGGGCTGCGGGCGGGGTCGTGGAGCGCGCGCCTGACGCAGCCCCCGCTTCCCCTACGCCCAGCCGATCCCCCACGGGGCCAGCGCGCAGCCCATCCAGCAGTCGGTCGCGCAGTCGCAGCCCGCCACGACGCAACAGGCCTCCTACCCCACCGCCGGCGCGTGTGCGGCCGACTCGAGCTGTGGTGCCCGAGCGAGTTCGCCGTAAGCGCGTGCACCGAGGGTGCCGGTCGGGGGCCCAGGCTAGGGCGAGGCGCGAGTTGTCGGGTAGTGAGTCCCCGCCACCAGCGCGACCACCGCCGCCGCAGAGCTCGTCACCTTTCGGGGTTCCCATTCGGCTTGACTCCAACCAGTCCCCCTTCAGCACCAGGCCAGCTGTTTCGCCCTTCCTTGCCTTTAGTCCAGTTCGCCCAGTGCCTGGACCGTCGCCTTTCCTGGCTCAGCCGGTGCCCCAGCTTCTCCCACCGTGGTTGCACCATTGCCGCGGTCCTGCTCGCTGACACCCAGGCCTGGACGCGCATCGGGCTGATTGAGTCGGTGCCTGCCCGATCCTGGCCGCTGGCGCCCTTGGGCCGCCGCGGCCGGGTCGGGGGTTGCCGCCTCGGTCACCTACTCGTGGTTCATTTGCAGGCTGACTGGTGGATCAGGTTTGTAATTTCAGTGTGCCGGTTTGAAGACGTGCACTCCAGTCCAGTGCACACAATTCTTGGAAGGACCGGCCGCAGGCGCCTCGGGGCAGCCGCTGGCCGCGTTTTGTCAAGCTGGGGCCTCATTGCTGTTGCGTGCCGTGTTTGCTCGCTTCGTCTTGCACACGGCTTTCAGGAAGCCTTTGGCGCGGCGCTTATTTTTGAGGCGGGGGTGCGTGGGGTGCAGAGCGCATAGTCCCTGCGCCCACTGTCAGGTGTGTTTCCGTGGAAAAGGCATCGACAAGAGCCCGCGGCCGCACCCTCGCCACTGGTTGAGCCTTTGCGCCCCGCCAGCAGCTGTCCCGTTTTTGCTCAGGCAGAAGCGCCTCCTCGGCAGCCGCCTTGCAAGTTTTTGTCCGGCCCCCGGTTCACCCAACAGGCTTAGCGGGCGTACGGCCGCTGGCGCTTCCGAGGCTGCCGTGGCTGTGCTGCCTCACCGGTGTGTCCCGGCCTCGTCCCTTTCCCCCTCTTTCTTTCTTGCCTCACGTTTGCCGCTTCCCTCGCGGCTGAACACCTTTAAGCATCGGTAAGCGCGCTTCCTCAGGTCCGTGCGCCTTCTGGCAGCCACCTGACGCGTGCCCACCACGGCCTTCACGGAACCAAAGGACAAAAAGTCTGCACTGCGTGGATGGCTCGCCGCATCTCTCGGGCGGATACGCCGGATCGCTGTCGTCGCCAACCGTCCCCGGTTCTCTCCGTCGCTTCGCGGTCGCCGCCGCCCAGCTCCTCCGGCAGTGCCACGCCGAGGGCGCCGGAGGCGGAGCTCGACTCGTGTTGCGTGTGTTTGGAAGCCCTCCAACCGAGCGTGTCTGGAGAGCGCGCGCCGCGGCCGTTCCCGACGTGTGCGCGTCACCAGCTGCACCTCGGGTGCTTAGCCCAGTTCCGCGCGCAAGCCTCCCGTCCAGCCGACTTACTATGCCCCTTGTGCCGCCACAGTCGCTGCCCCGCGTGCGAGCCGGAAGGGTGGACGGCCCGACACGACGCGGCGTTGCGCGACGAGTGCGCGCGACAGGGTGTGCAGATGCCGGCTCGGCGTTCTGGTGAAGAGACTGTGCGGGAAGCCGTGCAGGATTACGCGCTCCGCACCTTCACCTCCAACGACGCGCCCGAACCGCCGCCGCCTCCAGGCGTCGTTGTGCTGTGCTGCAACCGTGTTGCGGCCACGCGCGGAGCAGGCGGGGTCAACTTCGTTGCTTTGCCGCACCGCGACATGGACTGGGCGCCGCAGCCGATTAGGCACGAAGCGGGCATTGCAGCGTGGCGACCGGCCTGGCTGTGCCCTGGTTGCGCTCGGGATGTCCAGCTGGATGACATCCATGTCCCGGCAAATGCCGGACAGACTTGCGGGGGTTGCGGCAGTCGGCTGTGGTGGGAATACGACCGTGCCATCGAACGTGGGCGACTTCGCTGCTCTCACGGTTGCAACCGGCCAGCAGAGGAGCTGCGGGCGCCCGAGCCCGTCAGGCCAGCGCCGCCGGCGCTCCCACACGTGTCTGGGCGCGGAGGTGGCAGTGCGTTCTGGCTGTCGCGCGGCCCACCTACAGGCGATGTGCGGGAAAGCACCAACTCCTGGCTGTACGTTCCGCTTCTCCATGCAGCTGCGGCGGATCTCGCGGTCGCTGCGCTTGCGGAATGGCGAGCAGACCGGCGTGCTGCCAGCTGGTGGGAAGAAGCCCGTCACGTGCTCATGGCGTCCGAGCCCGTCAGCCCGCAAACGCTGGTGGCAGCTGTAGTCCGTGCTGTGGAGGCCGCGCCAACACACGAGCATCACCTGCCTGACCTCGTCTCACGCATCCAGGATGCGGGGCTGCCCAGCAGTGCGCGTGTCCACGTCGGATGGGCGGTCCGCCAGCTCCGGGAGCCGGATGCGTACTTGCTCGCGCCCGTGCAGGAGGCCTTGCTCGAGTGCTACGGAGGCATGCAGCTGGCGTCGGCGCTTGACCGGCATTCCGATCGCTTCCGCGCCATGCCGGCCCCGGGCGCCGCTCCCCCTCATGGAGAAGCCGCCGAGACATCCGCGCGCGGCGGGAGGGGACGCCGCCGTGGGCGGGGCCGTGGCGTTCCGCCGGCTTCTGGGGCGCGTCAGCGTGACCATGATTCGTCGGGCAGCGATACTGCTGCGGCCCCGGTTCCAGACCACGCCCAGGTGCCGGATCGACAGCCGGTTTCCCTTCCCGACTTCCCTCGCGCTGCTTGGCAGTGGCTTGACGGCCTTGATCTCCTCGCTGAGCTCCGTCGCCAAGTGCCCACCCTGCACACCGTGCCCCGTTTTCTCGCCGCGGGAGTCCGCCATGCGCTTGTTTCCGCGCTTCAGGCGATTCGGGTGGCGCATGAGGGCCGCGACGACGTCGCGTGTGTGCGGGCGTGGAAGCTCTTCTTGCTTTTGCCGCGCTTGCTCCTTGCCCGTTGCGTCGAGACGGGTGGAGAAGGTCGGGCCGTTCTACTCCGCCGGGTGCAACTCTTTCGGGAAGGTCGTTGGGACAGCCTGCATGGCCAGCTCGGCGCAGTGCCCTCCCGCACGCGGCAGCCCACAACCCCGGATGCCTCGGAGGCTCGCGCAGCTGCGGCCTGTGCCCGGGTCCGGCGAGGGGAGCTCTCCCGAGCGCGCCAGGTCCTCACTGCGGCCGCGTTGGCGCCCGGGGACGAAGCCACGCTCCGAGCACTCACCGACCCTTCCAGACGGCCGCCGCAGCCGCTGCGACCGGTCCCGCAGCACGTGATGAACCATCACCCTGCGGAGGAGGTCGCGCTCTCCAAGCAACAAGTCGCCGACGCGCTTCGCACCTCCAAGCGCGGGTCAGCTGCTGGCCTGTCGGGCGCCACTGTCGAGTTCTACAAGTTGCTCCTCGACGATGAGGGTGCCTTAGAGGCCTTCACATTCGTGGTCAATGTCGCAGCTCGCGCGCAGGCTCCCCCGGTTGCGTTGGACGCCCTGGCCTTGTCGCGCCTCACCGCCCTTCGCAAGCCACAGGGAGGGGTCAGAGGCATTGCCACCGGAGATGTCTTCCGTCGCCTCGTCTCTCGTGCTTTGGCGCGCGCGTATGCCGGGGAGCTCGACGAAGCAACGCGCCCGTTTCAGTTCGCGTTGCGGACCCGTGCAGGCACGGATAGCCTGGCTGCCATGCTGCGCTCTGCGGTGGAGTTCGACCCGCGGGCGACCGTCGTCTCCCTCGACGGCAGGAGTGCGTATGATACTATCAGCCGGGCGGCAATCCTATCAAAGCTCAGCGAGGTGGTGCCGGCACTTTTGCCCTTCGCCCGAGCCATTTATGCACGCACGTCCACTTTTCTGTGGTGGGACGATGAGGGGACCCTCCACGAAATCTCCCAAGCGGAGGGGATTGAGCAGGGAGATCCCCTCGCGCCAGGCCTGTATGCGTTAGGCCAGCACGAGTCGCTCGTGGCTGCGGCTGCTCGCCTCGCACAGGGCGAGCGCCTGTTGGCGTTTCTCGACGATCTTTACGTCGTGACTACGCCGGAGCGATCTGGGCACCTGGGAGGTGTCGTTGCAGGTGAGGTTGAGCGCGGCGCGGGCGTCGCAGCCAACCTCGGCAAGACACAAATATACAACGCTCAGGGAGGCGCAGCGCCGCCGGACGTTGCCGCCTTAGGCCCGGACGTCTGGCGGGGTGATTTGCCGCCCGAACAGCGTGGGTTCGTCGCACTCGGCGTCCCGATCGGCCACCCGGACTTCGTTGCGTCCCAGGCCGAAGAGCGCCTGCGCGCCGAGGCCGAGTTGCTGCGGCGATTGCCGCTCCTGCCGGACCTCCAGTGCGCGTGGCTGCTCCTTGTCTACTGCGCGTCGCCCCGGGCGCAGCATTTCACATCCTCCCTTATGCCCGGGCCCACGATGACGCGATATGGGACGTCGTCACGCGCCTTCTTGGTGGGGAAGGCCCGGGTGAGGAGGCTGCGTGGATTGCAGCGCGCCTCGGCGCCTTCCTGCCGCCCAGCTTGGGGGGCCTGGGCTTGTTGGCTGCAGAGCGGGTTGCGCCGGCTGCATACTGGGCGGCTTGGGCAGATGCCCTCCCAGTTTTGCGCCAACGCTTCCCCGACGTCGCCCAGCAACTCGTGCGCGCGCTCGAAGGCGATGCAGTCGCCGCACCGCCCTGCGTGCGGGCAGCGGCGGCGGCTACGGAGCGCTTAGACGCGGCTGGTTGGGAGGAGCGGCCTCACTGGGCGGCATGTGCCGACGGGGCCCAGGTCCCGGCTACAGACGGTGAGCTCGGGCTCGGTGGCCCTGGCTGGCAGCGACGCGCTGTTCTCGCACTCCACACGTCCTTCCGAGAACGCGAACTGCTCCCGGCCATGGCGCCCGATGCGCGAGCCCTCTTTCGCTCTCAGTCTGGGCAACATGCGGGCATGTGGCTCGCCGCCATACCGGCTGACGCAGCTGCGACCCTGGCCCCAGACTTGATGCACATTGCCCTCAGGCGACGCCTCCGCCTGCCGCTACCATTGACCGCCCTGCATTGTGGAGGCGACGGAGCTCCCGGCTGCCATGGACAGGCCGATGCGTTAGGTGACCACTTCGTCGCCTGCCCGCGTACTGGCTTGCTGCCGCGCCGAGGCTTTGTCCTTGAGCGCGCGTGGGTGCAGGTCGCGCGTGAGGCGGTCGGGGCGGAGGGCCGAGTAGTGCCACAGCAGTGGCTGGCCCGGACCACGGCACCTGGCGTTGCGCCTGCGGACCGCCGCCGCTTGGACTTGGTGGTGTACGGGGCCACGCCGGGCGGTGAGGCACTCTGTTGTGACGCGACGCTTGTCTCGCCCCTGACGCGAGCGGGTCGCCCAGTCCCAGGTGCCGACGTGCGAGACGGGGCCGCGTTGGCGGCCGCGCGCCGCCGCAAGCACGCGCGATATCCCGAGCTCCTGCGGGGAGGTCCGCAACGGCTCGTCGTGCTCGCGGCGGAGGTGGGCGGCAGGTGGGGCGAGGAGTGCCAGCGCTTCGTTCGCCAGCTCCTGCGTCTCCGCGTTCAGAGGGCCCCTGCAACCCTGCGTGCCACGGCGGCCCAGGGGTGGGCAAGGCGATGGTGGGGCCTGCTCTCGGTCGCCGTGCAGAGGGCAGTTGCCAGCACGGCCCTGGGTGTCTGGACGATGCCGGCGCTGCCGGGCTCGCCGGACGGGGCCCCCCTCGCTGATGTCCTTGAGCTCGCCGATTTCGCGGGGCCCAGCCGCCTGCCGCTTCGGTGAGACGTGTGTACATAGGGGGGGTGTGGGGACCTGGATCACGACCGCCGCGAGGAAAAAAAAAAAAATCATGTACATAATGGTTTCACTTTTGTTCTGATCGTGACACACGATCGTTCGAGGACTCGTCTCTCTCCCTCTCTCTCTCTGTCTCTCTCTCTCTCTCTCTCTCTCTCTCTCTCTCTCTCTCTCTCTCTCTCTCTCTCTCTCTCTCTCTCTCTCTCTCTCTGTCTCTCTCTCTCTCTCTCTCTCTCGACGTGGCGGCGTGCTACGCGACGCCTACTAGGCCAAAGCGCATTGCGTGTTTTATGAAAATTCACCGTGGTCTTGTACGACAGGATGGGTCTTGAATCTGAGTGGCTGTGTGCTATGTGCAAACCATCTTCGAGGACCATCAAACGATTAGGTGGTTGGGCCGCTTACATTGAGGCTTGTGTGTTATATGTTTTGCGCCGTGTTGGAGTGGGCGGTGCGTGATTGGAAACAAACAGGACAGCATTTTAGGATTCAGCTTCAAACGCATACGCAGGTGTTGACTGACCCCCGCTTCGCTGCTGACATTTTGCTGTGCGCGCTCTCGCTGCAACAAATTCTGCTCATGGTACGGTGGTCAAACCTCGGATGTCGAATTTCATCTCCATGCAGGTGCGCGTGCTTTCTGGGCGAACAAGCAGATTTTTGCGACAAGCACGTCTCATTGGCTCTTCGGGTAAAATTTTTCGACGCCGTGGTGACACCGGTTGCATGTTTTGGTGCTGCGTTTGGCGACCAGTCATCGCACGCTGGCAACTTTGTCACGTGATGTGTGAAATTCCAATCGTTGGGCGACCATGCCCTCGCCTGCCCGAGAACAGGTTTGCTGGCAAGACAGGCCAAGGTGGTCGAAAGGGCTTGGCTCCGGGTCGCACGCGAAGCGGTCGGGCCTGAGGGCCAAGATGTGCCACAGCAGTGGTTGGGCCGCACGACTGCTCCGGGGGTGCGGCCCGAGGACCGTCGCCGCTTCGATTTTGTCGTGTATGGAGCCACACCCGATGGCGGCGCCCTATTTTGCGACGCGACGTTAGTGTCGCCTGGACGGCCATGCTGCGGGTCGCTGAGCGCCGCAAGCGCGCCGCCTACCCAGAGCTAGCCGTGGGGGGGCCACAGCGGCTACTTGTTCTGGGCAGCGAGGTTGGCGGCAGATGGAACGAGGGGTGGCGGAAGTGTTGGCGGATGCCCGCCACGCCTTCCCGGTGACTGCCAGCCGTCTTCCCGCCCATGAGGCAGCAGCGGCGCAGCGGGGTACTCGACGAGGACTGGCCTTGTACCTAGCGGCATAGCGACTCACTCGCCTGCGGGAAAAGCGCCGTGGAATACAACAATTAATCGCATTTGCGATCTGATTGATGTTGTCAGGACATGCAGATGCGTTGTCCATTTGACTGGGAGCAGTACCGCGCTGACATCGAGTTCAACAGACTTCGAATGCCATGAAGGCGGCAGCTGGTGTTCGTACTGCCTGGGTTGCGCGATGGGCGGCGCTCTTGGCTGTCACGGCTCACCTCCTCCCTGCTCGAGCTGCCCCTTGCGGGCGAGAGCAACGGCGATGATGCCGTGCCTGAGCTGCACGAGGTCCCCCACGCGAGGACATGCTACGGAAAAAGGCGTGCGACAAAAAAAAGCTTTGCGTTCCTGGATATGTTATCCACGCCAGACCGCACGGTGCCAGCCTTGGACCTGCCGGGCATTTCACTCAAAACGCATGCGAACGTGGACCTCCATTTTGGCAAAATGCGGGCTTGAATTCGGCTGGGGAGGAGCCCCCTGGCCTCCGTGCGAGAGTGCCGACGGGGCGAGCCACCGGTGTGGGTTGGGGACTGGGCGTTACCAGCAGATCGCCAAGGTGTTGTGGCGGCACGCCTCTTGGCAGTGACGCCTTCCTCCAGGCCAACCTGCGCGCCAAACTAGCATCCCGACAGTGCCCGACTTGCAAGCCGCCTGGTGGCTGGGGTGCTTATGCGCGCGGCGCCACGCAGCAACTACCTCTTGCGGGCTTTGCCGCTGGGGGCTACCGGAGAGTTTGCCCGTGGACATGGGCCTTTCATGACAGCTGGAGGTCCCTGACGACTGCGACGACACTGACTGGGGAATTATGTAATGTGGTCGCCGCCGGCTTCGGTCTTAGTGGACGTGCTGTGGGTCGTTGTGGAGAGCGGGGGCCTCCTGACCTATTGCTGTGGCAGCTGGGGTCTCCTGGACGCTCCTGGTGACGACGATTATGACGACGACACTAAGGATTTCCAAGGTCGGTGCTGGAGGAGGAGGGCCTATGGCGGTGACGGGCTATGGCGGAGGACTCACCGGTGACAAAAATGGAAAAACTTTCGGAGGGTGTGTGTGTGTGGAGGCCCCGATTCTAAGCCAAGGGTTTTGGAGGACTTGACTCCGTTGAGCGCTTGAGCTCATTTCATGCAGGGCACCCAGAACCTATATCATCTGTCCTGGCCAACGAAGACCAGGTGATGTTGGGGTGCCACATTAACAGGGTTGCACCTGGATCCAAGTTGGGTAGCTGGTGGACTCACAAGAAAGTCGAGCACGTTCGTTTCCTTTCCTTGCAGGCAGGCAAGCAAGAGTCCTGAAACAACCGACTTGCGGTCAGCCACTACAGAAAAGTGAAACAAAGTATATGTGTATATAGAAAATGGGCCACGTCAGCCGCATGCGTCCTGGTACAAAAGATAAGAAAGCAAAAATCAGTACGAAAAAAAATCACGACGCCGCTGCTGAGACCAGCAAGAAGAAAGCATATATACAACGGAGTGATGGTGGCTCTAAGACTCTCAGCCAAGATCGCTGCGCTCTGCAAACGCTTGCAACGAAGAGCACATGGGCAATCATAGATGAACGAGTGTTGCCCATCTCCTGCGGCGCAAAGACGAGCCGCAAAAGGCTGTCGTCAGACAGTGCATCCCAGTTGCAGCTAAGAGTTGGCAAGCGTTGCACCCATATGCGCCCCCAGGGCGAAAAACGAGGGCACGTGCGCAAGGCATGGAGCAGGCTCCAATCATCGCACCCGCAGAGGCATGGATGATTGAGGCCACGGTGATGGGCAGCATGGGCATCCAAGAAGGGATGGTGGCCACACCTAGGGGTGGCCGAACAAAGGCGACCAAACAAACTGGCTTGCCCAAAAATACTTGCACCGCGAATGGGTCCCAACCGAGTTCACCGTTCACCCAAAACGGCTGCATTGGGTGCGCCTGTTGGCCAACACAGCAAGCGCAGTGCAAGCGCCGCGGCGCACATGCTTATCCAAGCGCCGTATAGGCGTGTCATCACGGAAAGCAGCACCATGTGTCATTGAAGGCAGCACATATGACTGAAGTAGGCTTCAACGAAAACTCATGTGCAAACCACGGCTTTCTGCCCAGGCAATGCATTGGTGGAATTTGCGGGTGCTTTTAGAGATCAAGCTTTCGGTTTGCTTGTTCCACTTTTTGGAAGCCTGGAAAATGACATCCAAGTAGCGATTATCAGGGACGACAGGGACAACGGAGCCCTGAAGCACGAACCGAAAGTCACGAGACCTACAGCCGACAGCAAGAACAGCTGTTTTATCGGGGCCTTTGCCAAAGGAGAAACGCCAACGGGCTCCCCAAGCACCAATGGCGTCAAGTGCACGTTGCAGGCCACTTTCCGAATCGGCCAAAACAACTAGATCACCAGCGTATAACAACAGAGTTACACGCGGTGCACGAGGACCGCGGCCCAGAGGGACACCAGGACAAGCTGCACGAACGGCGGCCGAAATACCAGCAAAAATGATGTTAAGCAGAAGGGGGCCAAGCACGGTGCCTTGGCGGACGCCGGTCCGTTCATCCCAAGGCTCAGACGCCAACCGAGCCCTGCAAAGCCAGTTCTACCCAACCGAGCCCCTCACGCGCGCTCGGAAGGAGGCGAAGGAGGAGGGCGAAGGGCGGAGAAGGAGGAGGCGGCGGCGGCGGCGGCAGGACAGCCCCAAAAGTAAGAACCCCACACAAACATGTGGGGAATGAAAAACATAAACTATTGTTTTTCGTCACGCTTCAGCTTTCCGTTTCTGCAAGCTGGGCAGCTGGGGTGGGTGCAGCGGCAGGAAGTGCATTGTTTCGGCATTGCTATGCGTAATTACTCCTTGCTTCACTGTCCAACGTTTCGTTCTGAGCTTGTGCAAAACGGAGCCACTTATTCGCTTGAAGAGTGGCGGAACTGCGGCTATCGTAGTGGCCTCGATGTCAGTGTCTGCCTGACAACTTCGACAAAAAACTTCGACATGCACAAGTGCGGCGCCCTCCCACCAACTGCCAGCATTGTTGCACTGCTGCATGTTTGTTTGGCGCAGATATGTGCTGATTACTTAGATGTTTGCAATCTACTAGTCTTTTGGCTCAGTCGTGAAACTGCTTGAGCTCCATGGCTGGTCTCGTCTCGTACTTCATGTGCTTGGCACGCACGTGCTTAGCTCTCTCTCCCTTTGTGGCCTTGCTGACCAGGAAGATGGAGACTTCAGATTTTGTCGCATGCACAGAGGGATGCGTTTTCATCCGGTATGCCGGGGTTCCCACTTTGCCTGCAACTGCTGTTGAGAATGTTGAGCTGAGCACCGGGAACTTTAGTGGTTGGTGGACCGGCTTTCCGTTGTTTGTACAAATCCAAAATGGCCAGGCACTTCGAGCCAGCTACCCCGTGCTGTCTGTCGGATCTTGGTTGTTCACGCCAGGGGCTATGTACGGCATTCTTCCGTCGTGTTTTACATACTTGACTCTCCAGTTGGATGCCTCAAGCCGCCAGGCGTTCGAAACAAGCGCGAGTGCAATGCAGTGCGAAGATGAAACCGTCCGTGAGAAGATTGAAAACCACCTGGCTGAAGGTCGCAGCAGATTCATGTACCTGCTATTTATCGTCATGTGGTCTACACTGACCCTTGCGCACGACTGGGGTCTGCTGAATGGGCTTCGAGAAGTTACGACCATAAGGATTGGACTGGCATCGTGGTATTGCCAGTCTCTTGCTTGTGTTGCTGCTTTTGTGTGGGCCACGGGCGCTGTGGAAGTATTTATCGCCCCAGGCTCCGGGTGCTACTACCAGCTCAATATTTGGCAAACGATGTTCACGATACTTCCACCACTCCTCCTCCTGGCTGCGACTGAGCTCAAACTCACGGCCCTTGCGTTGTCAGTATGCCATGGAGACTACATGTATTCGATCACATACAGCGTGCCTTATAGAATGGTCTCCGCCGTGCGTCCGCAGGAGCCAACTGCAGATTTATTGACACTGGGACTTCGCGGCGACCGTGATATGCCGTACTGCCGTCCACCCCCGCTATCCTTGGAGGAACTGCACCACATGGAGAAAGTTTTGTTTTACAGCGGAATGTGCTGGACATTTGTGCAGCATTTTGTCATTGCGCCGTTCACCTTCGGACCCCTACTCCGCAGGCTCATAAGTGTAGCCATGATCCAGGATTGGTCTCTTCACGCGCTGGGTTTGCTGAAGCTTGCGGTTGCAATGCTGCTGGCCATTTGTGTCGTAATTGGTATATACCCTGTACTTGCATCACGGTACGGCTGGCTACCAAATTTTTCGGGGATGTGTGACCCATGGGACCCTGACGATCAAGAGGAACAAGATGATCCATGGCAAGACAGTGGCGCGCAAAAGACTTCACCTTGCAACTGGAGCCAGCGTCGGCTAGTCGACTTTGTCGGTCGAAGGGTACTTGATGCGTTTTGTTGCCTCTTTGGTCCTGCGTTCAGTCTGGGGGCCCTCGCGAAGCTTATCTCTTTCGTCCATGCTGGAGAGACGGATGAACTTGAGCAGAGTTGGTCCTGGTACCTTCACGGGACTTCCGCCTTCATATTTGCATCTTATACTTGTAGTCTTCTGCCTGCCTTTCGGAATCCCCGTGTAATGCTGGCAACCCGCACATTGCAGCTGGACTTCTCCCAGAGCTACAGGTTGCTACGGGAGGTTGCTGCGACCCACCCAGAATGGGCGATGGAGGCCCACGTAGATTTTCTGTGCCAAATGCCGCCAGCTGCCGCTCAACGATTGCGAGCCACAATGCTTGAGGATAGCGACGGGCGAAGATCACATGTAGATGAGCTGGGTTGCCAAAGACAGCAGCTTGGGCTGGCAGTTCGTGAGATGGGCGTTAAACAACCACCTGGTTCCGACCTTGAGGACGAACCGGATTCCAACCTCGAGGACGAATCGTCTGAGTCCTGGTGACCCCTGTGTCAGACTAGTCAGTAATATTTGTAAAGAAATGCGAGAGGACAGCGCCCGAGCATCAGCAGCAACACGCGTGTGCAGCTGTGCCACACGAATAATACACCACACCCTACGGCCAAAGTAGCATATTGTGAGAACAAAATCTGTTCCACAGCTTCTCCAACCCTTCCGCAGGTCAACTTCGATGTGTTTACAGTCTTTGTGCCTTGGCAGTCGCGCGCTTTTCGCACGTGCACCGGTATCTAAGTTGTTTAGGGTTTAGGGTTTAGGGTTTAGGGTTTAGGGTTGAGGGTTGAGGGTTTAGGGTTTAGGGTTTAGGGTGTTTAGGGTTACAAGATCCCTGACATGACCGTCTCGGGTTCCATGCATGGCAGGGCGGCTTTGAGTGCATGTTTGCGACAGGTTTTCTTCCAGCTACTTCAGGAATGTCTTGAATGTCAAAACCCCTGCACGGCTTTGCTCGCTCCAACCGCACGCAAAGTCACAATTGCAAAACACATCCTGCGACAGTGTCGCTAGCCGCGCGCCCGTGAGCACACACCCCGATTTCTTGCCCGCAGCTGACTTTCAAGCCAGTACGGAAAATGCATGTAAGCGAGACAGTTGGAATTTGACCCCCGCGTCGCTTGAAATTCCGAGCAGCAGGCCTTTGCCATGCGATGGGAGGTAGCTGAAGAACTCCGAGCAGAGCTCCCTACCTAGCCCTACTTCTTGAAGAATGATTCCCTGATGTAGTGGCATACTCCAGTTTAGATTTTGGAAATGTGTGTTTACATATGCACTTACATACTCTCTATGGTATGCTATATAGTCAGAGGTCCGAGGTAGGATGCCAGGTGCTGCTTTCATAACCCTAGCATAACCCTAGAGGCTCTACAGCAGGCCATAGAACCCTAAAGCCCCAAACGCCTAACCTACATGCTCTGTACAACCTGCGACTTGATGCAGCATTTTGTGCTCTGGTGTTGCATCCCCAAACGCTCGCTTGGCAGCGTTGACTCCACAGCGGGCGATGTCCGAAGGGGTGCCGATCGAGCGCAGCGAGGCAGTTCGCTTGGAGATTCGGCAACAAAGAAGTCGCTGCTATGCGACATGCATGTGTTTGTGTCGGCAATATTCAAATGTCCACAGTGTGCAACAGCCTGTGATCGCAGAGGCAGCGTTCACGCCGATACACGGATCACCAAAAAGCCCGTTCGTCGACATCGATGCGCTTGCAGACTTGGAAGTGGCTCCCCAGGCCGAACAGTGGCAGGTTGCTTGTCACACTGCGGTCAGAATTGCCCTGTCATGCCGACCATGTTTTGCTTGCACCAGGAAAGCGACAAGGACAAGAGGAAACGGGAAGCTCAGGACCACAATTCGGCGCGGCGTGTTGAACCCTGAGGGTTGTCACGTGCCTACAAGGTGCCCGTATCACCTTGGCATGTGAGGAGAAATGTGAAGAACTCAAGGAGTGTTCTCGGCCGCATCGCATGTAGCAATTTGCTTTGACATATGTACGGAAAGGCAGGCCGAAGCCCTAAGCCCCGGGTGCGGGTAAGGCAGTTCGGAAATTTCCCTACACCTTGCGGAGTGGCCAAGACCCAAAACCCAGGAGAGGGAGAATCAATCTGTAAATCTTAAACTTAGACCCCTTAATTCCAAAACCTCATGTTGCTCTCAGGTGGGGCGGCAAAGCTTCATTGGCCGCGTTGTTGTCGCAGCGTGGATGCATAGCATGCCGCTCGTGATTGCGTCGCGCCATGTGCGCCCTCTCTTCCCACGGAGCCCCATACCCCCATGATTGAGCCACCGCTCTCTATCGTTTAGGGTGTCTTCCGGAAACTTTAAATACCCTAAACCCTAAACCCTAGCCCTAAACCCTAACCCTAAACCCTAAACCCTAAGCCCTAAACCCTAAACCCTAAACCCTAAACCCTAAACCTTAAATCCCAGGTTTCCTTGATTCCAGGGGTGATGGGCTTTCTAGGCTCCGAGAAAAGTAAGGCCTGGGAGATCCGAGCCCCAGGGTTTAGGGTTTAGGGTTTCGGGTTTAGGGTTTAGGGTTTAGGGTTTAGGGTCAGGAGACCTCAGACCCCTCTGCAGTTTTTTGGTGTTTACTACAGGGGTCGGCATACATACTAAGGTATTCCCTTATGGCCCCTTTGTGATTTTGCTGTCAATAACCCCCTCATTGTTCAGGACCCCTGTTTGGGGATGTTTGGGGATGTTTGGGGATGTTTGGGGATGTTGGGGATGTTTGGGGATGTTTGGGGATGTTTGGGGATGTTTGGTGTTTAGGGTTTGGGATTTGGGGAATGCTTGTGGCTTAGGGTTCAGGGTTTGGGGATGTTTGGGGTTTGAGGGTTGCAAACCCTGTTGCATCAGCAGCTCGTCCCATGGTGCCGTGTGTTAAGGCTCACGACCTGCAAGGAAAAGTTGGTGTTGGCTCCTTGTTTGGCATGCAGAGAGGGCCCGCTGCGAGTTGCCTCGGGAGGACTTCGGAGCGTTTACGGTCTCGAGGGTTGGCTGGGTATGTAGGGCTTATGGGGCTCCTGGGGCTCATATGGGTCATATGGGGCTCCTGGGGGGTTCTGGGGCTCATGGGGCTTTTGGGGGTTTAGGTTCTTAGACACATGGCAGGAGTCCGAAATGCACCGGAAGAAGCAGGCACGTGAAGCTGGTGCAACAAAGCCCCGCAGCAAGCTAAAATGCTGAACGCACCGCTGCTTGATAAGACTGATAAGAATGATGAGAATGATAAGAATGATAAGAATGATGAGAATGATAAGAATGATAAGAATGATAAGAATGATAAGAATGATAAGGATGATAAGGATGATGGTAGTGGTAGGAATGAAAATGATGACATCAAGCAGTGACAACAGTGATAGTGATGACAAAAACGAAGATGATCATGCCGATGATATGAACTTGATGTGAAAATGATGAGAATGATAGTCATGTAATTGTAATGATAGTGCTTATATCAACAGCAGTACTGCTGGTAATGAATCATCTGCTCAATACGTGAAGCCTGAGACAATCTGAGGCTTTGGGCTTTTTGGGTGCGTTTGCACACGGCGCGGGACAGCCGGTGCTCCTTGGCTTCGGCTTCGAGGGTCGCCCGAGTTCTTTGAGAGCACGAGAAGCGTGAGGAACTTGGGAGTATTGGGGTTTGGGGTTGTGTTTTGTCAAGCTTGAAGCAGTCGTTTGTGCCAGCAAAGCACCGACTCGGTGTGGGTTGAGTTTAACCCGAAACACCATGGAAGACGCACCTTCCAATCTGCATATGTCCCTGGCGAGTTGAATCACGTTCCGAGCATGTGGACCAAGGATGATTCTTATGCAACCTGGAGTTCAATTTCAGCTATTTTTCTATGCTGTGGTGAAGGTTCATGCAGGGCCACCCATTGCAATCAATTGGGATGGCGCAGGTAAACATGAATAGAAGTGGAGTGAGATGTGTAAATACGGTAAGTCGGTACTGTGCTGGGATGGGCGAGAGAAGCGTAGACAGCCAAGCCACCTAAAACCCTAAACCCTGAAGCCTCGACCCTCAACCCAAAACCCTAAACCCTAAACCCTAAACCCTAAGCCCTAAGCCCTAGACCCTAAGCCCCAGGTGGGGAGATCTGATCGATGGACTGGGCACATCGGTTTCGGCCGACTTCGATATGCAATCTCTGGCGAACATGACCACGGAGCAGCTCCAGGCAGCTAGGGTTTAGGGTGCTAGGGTTTAGGGTTCAGGGTTTAGGGTTTAGGGTTCAGGGTTCAGGGTTTCGGGTTCAGGGTTCAGGGTTTAGGGTTTAGGGTTTCGGGTGTGAGGTTGTTAGGGATTTGAAAGTTTAGGGTTTCGGGTGAGCTGGTGCCGTTGAGTCGTCGGCCCAGGCTGTGCAGGAAGCAGCAAACGACCAGATGATGGAGAGCGCTGGCACCTTACGGGCCCTGTTGAGGGGACCGGTAGACGGCCATGGAAGTTTAGGGTTTTTGGCAAAAACGGTTTAGGGTTCAGGGTTCAGGGTTTAGGGTTTAGGGTTTACCGCACCGCCATGCCTGCATCAGGTCGGCGCGATTGCTTTGAAGTTCGTTGTGCTCCTCGGTTTCACCTGCCCCGAGCCTCCACATGTACCCAAAAACCCTCCAAACCCTCAACCCTGATCCCCAAACCCTAAACCCAAAACCCTAAACCTGAAACCCTAAACCCTCAAACCCTCTGCGCCCTGACTACGAAACCAGGAAACACAGACGGGGCATCGTCGGCCCAGGATCGGATGCTGCGTCTGCGGTGCTGCTGCCCTGCAGGGCTTCGCGTTCCCATGGCGGCCCGGAAAAGGATTTAGTGTTCAGGGCTTTAGGGTAAACGGGGTTTTCGGGAAAGGGCTTTAGAAAAGGGTACTTTGGGGTTAGCGTCAGATTCAGCGAGGATTTGGAGCTTGAATTCTTCGTAAACATGTCCTTGGACATGCGTTGCGCCAAGGGCTCTCCATGGCAAAACATATGTGCTGAGCATGAGTGGTCCCCCGATGTTGCAAGGTTTGTGGACAGCCAGCTGGCAAAGATGCGACCATTGCGTCTTGGGTCAAGAAGCTCGAAACTTTTGTTGCACTGATGCATGCCTGTAGGGCGACGACTCAAGTCCCAGGCTTCCGAATGATCCCGAAAGCATCGGCGCCGAAGCCCCTTTGCGCTTTTAATTTTCCGATCCGGAGGTACTTCGACGCAATGCTGCATCGGGATGTCGGATGGTTTGACACCCACTCGCCAGGAGCGTTGCCAGGCGGGGATGGCACGTGCCACATGCCTCTTTATAAAACCTAAGCAGGTCTTTGCTTTGACGCTAACCCCGCAGCTACGAACCCCAGACACCGCGACAGCAAAGTGTCCAACATGGCAGGCGAGATGACTGCGGACCTGGAGACGTTTGCTGAAGGCATCTGAAATTTTTCTTAAACTATATAGGGTCCCCTGTTTAGATACCATTTAGAGTAGGCCTGCTGAACACCCCAAACCCCTGCCACCCAAGAAAAAGGATCCTCATGTAGAATGGCCCTCAGCTGTGGAAGCTAGATCTCTGAAAGAGCCTAGGCCTCTGAACCATTCTAAACCGCTTGCCAGTCATGAGTCTTCTCGTAAACTGTACTAGATATGGGGAACATGCATTTTCGAAACTTATGCAGCAGCCAACAATCATGAATCCCTCATCCTACGCCCTCTCTGCACCTAAACCCCTAAAAAACCCCGAACTCAGCAAGAGCGAGGCCTCAAACCTTAAATCCTTAAACCCTACACCTGGAGATCTCGACAGGACTTGCCTCGCCCGCTTATGCCAGTGTGAGAGTCGAAACCCTACACCCAAACCCTCCCTTCTTCTTCTACTCTATGATTCAATTCTTCTTACGATTATTGCAACGATTCTTATCATATAGCATTATTGTCATGTTCTTCTTGTATTTCTTCCATGAGAATATACATATCTCTCTCTATACAAATATAGTTGCCATTCTCACAAGTTATTGTATTTCTTCGATTCTTACCTTAGTCTAAGGCCTCAAATGGTATTGGTATCATAATGTTGTTGCATCTCTTCGATTCGTTCACTATTTCCTATTTCTACTACTCTTCTTACCATTCTGTCTTGCTATCACAGTGTTGTTGTACCTATTCGATTCGTACGCTATTTGTCTTGCCTTTGTCAGGCTTCGGATCCAAGCTCGGGGTCAGCGCCATGGCCTTCGCCGGGCTCTGCGTCGGCCTCACCGTGGGCTTCGTTCTGCCCCTCAGCCCTTGGAGGGGGTTTGGATGGTCGTACTTGGAGGTTCATGGGTACTTATAACCCCAATTATAAGTTTACTTAGAACCTTTTTAGGGGGCTCAGGGGGCTTATAATTACAGTTAAAATTGGGGTTATAAGTACCCTGAACCTCCAAGTAGTCTTGCAAGATCTCTTTCTAGGGGGTTCCTAGGCAACCTACAAAAAGGTGGGGTTTCGGGGATTCTGAAGGTGGAGGCTTGGGGTCTCCTACATGCGTTTGGCAGGGCCACACCAAGAGGTGGTCACCTTGCGCATCAGTTCTGCGCAACGAAACCGGTTTAGGGTTTAGGGTTTAGGGTGTAGGGTTTAGGGTTTAGGGTTTAGGGTTTAGAACTCCACGCCACGAGGGTGCTCGCTTGAGCGGGCTCTTTCGTAGCACACACGTAGCAAAGGGAGAGGGTCTGCTTGATCCTTTTTGTGGTGCAGACGTGGTCCAAACGCAGAACAGACGTACCGCGCGGGAGGCTTACAAAGTTTGGGATCTCCAAGACAATGGCTTGTTTTGGGAGTGCAATCGAAGAAAACGTACAAAAGCGTTGCACATCCCGCGATTTCGTTTTGGTTGTGCAAAATAAGACAAGCTCGCAAATCTCGTGAATCATTTTGCACCGCATTGCGTATCACGTGGGATGGTTCGGTTGCTGTGTCGTGGAGTCGTGGAGTGTACGAAAATGTAGCCATAACGTGGGGGTAATTCTGCATCCCCAATCATTCATGTGGGCTGGGGTTTTTGTGGCTGCGCCCTGTTTTACCATCATTTTGATTTGTTCTTCTAAATGCTTTCGGGACATCCGCTGTCTAGCATTTGTGCTTATTGTTTAATACCATTGTGTTTATCTCCATCGTTAGGGGGGGGGGGAGGGCGGAGAGGAGGGTGAGCTTATAGATGTCTTCCAGCCATGGTTTCCAGACTTGACGAATGCCCAAAACCCCCACAAACAGGGCCCAGGGTCCAGGGTCTAGGGTTTAGGGAACCCAATGCCATTGGTGAACAAAGGTCGTGGGAGATCGCGCTTCTTATGCGCCCTGGCAGCATCTCACATGTCCAGTGCTATGCAGTGAATTCGGGCTCGGCGTTTTGGGTTCGGGCTTGTTGTCTGAAGGCATCTTAGATGTGTCCGGAGAAGCCTCATAGCAGCGACACCGGGTACGCGTAACTTGAGCGTGACCGTCCTAAAACTTCGGTGGAATGACGGGAATGAGGGGAAGAACGACTGGCCAACTCAGATGCAGCAAATGGGGGTTGATGACCAATCGCTCTGCCCGAGCAATCAGGACACACGTTGAACGTTCAGGGGTCCGTCGCACAGAGCCCTTCGGACAGCGGCTAGGTCAAGCCGATCAAGTTTGTGAATTTCATCCGCGCCAAAGTCTGGGGGTTTTCCGCAAATAGGGGTACCCTATTTCGGGGTCAACTTTAAGGAGATTCTCTTCTATTTGGGGTATATAAGGGGTACCCCTATTTTGGGAAATGCCCTCTTCAGGTCTTAAATTAGGATGGAGGCAGGCCTCGGACTGAGAGTGGCATCCGATGTGCGACTTGGGGTCGGCAAAGGGTGGTCGAAAAGCGCCTTTCGGGGGAGGGCTCCGGGACGGAGTAGCAGAGGGGGTTGTGACCTGTCTACGAAGGCACGGGATAGACCCTCTAGGTCAGGTCATGCGAGTCGGGGTCGTGAAGGAGATGTCAGTTTGCACGGCTGAGAGACTGGCTGAGTTGAAATGGCTTGACTGGACTTCTCTTAAGCATTCCCTTGCTCTTGGTGTTTTGGGGCTTTTCCCGAAAATGGCCCCGCATGGCTGTGGCTGGGCGGGTGGCAAAAACAGCACGAGATGTGTCAGGTTGGTGACGCTGCCGCTCATGGCGATCGGCGCCATGGTCATGTCGAGCGCGGTCTTGGACGCAAGGACGCAGCCGCGGTGATACAAGCAGAGTATGTTGACTGCAGCAGCTGAACAGATTTCGTCAGACACAGGCAGTGTGGTTTCGTCCTTCTCGGGCCCGGGCGTCGGGTTTAGCTTCTGGGATCACATTTCCAGCGCCTTCGTCCAAGCATCGAGGTAGGCCAGGTCATGTATTCATGTACGAGACCATGCTACATTTTTCCAATGGACAGTGACATGAGAAGACTACTTTATTATTGGAAGGGGTCATGGCTTCGGGGGTGTGCAGAAGGCCCGTTGCAAAAGGGGTTTGGAGTATGAAGAGGGGCCTGAAAGAATGAGTGAGGCGCAGCATGACTTGCACGGCAGGCGCGAGGTGCAGGGCCCATATGAGAAGGCGGCAGAACTGGCAGACGAGGCGGCAGAACAATCGAATTCGCTTCGGTTCCCGACTCTGCATTGTGCGGAAACGTGTGGCTTGACAATGTTGTCGCAAGCTTGAAGCGTCGGGCTCTTGTACTCAGCAACAACGTGTGTATACGACAGACAAACGGGTCATAAAGTGTCATAACTCGAAGCGCATCGTGGGGCAGGTGCTGTACGCAATCCGAACAGTTGTGGCTTGGCAAGAAGGAGCCGGAAGGAGTTGTGGTGGAAACATAAGCCGGGAGATCCTACCTTTTTGTTATTTTTTCTAGTAAACAGTTGTAGCAAGTGATGATGGGGGACTCCGATGGCGGTTCCTTAACAGTCCACCCCTCCCCCCCCAAAAAAAAAAAAAATCTGAAATTCGCCTCGGCCGGAAAAATATTTGACATTCAGGGGGGGCCTAAACCCTAAACCTTGGAGTTGAAATTATGCGGACCGGGGAGGGAGTATGGGGTTTGGGGCTGGGGGTTTGGGGTTCATTTAGGGTTTAGCCTTAAGCCCTAAACCCTAATTAAACCCTCTAAGCCCTGAGCCCTGAATCCTAGTCCTTTCAGCCTTCAGCCCTAAACCCTGAAACCCTAATGGCTCAACTCAAGGGCGAAGGCCCTCAACCCCCCCCCCCCCCCCCCCCCCCCCCCCCCCCCAATTCTCAAACAGGTTTAGTTTTGGGCTGGGTGCCGGCAGAGTCCGGGAAAAACAATATTTTTCAAGTCGGGTGGGGCTTAGTATTAGGGGGATGTGATGAATGGAGTGTTTGGCTACGTTTTTTCTGGGAGATTAGGTAAGGGAGGATGTTGGAGGCTTCCACTTGCTTTTGCTTGCGAAGCCCCTTTGGGACGGGAATGGTCAGCGAGTTCACCCTGGGGTGAGGGCGCTGGGGGCAAAATGGGAGGGAGGATGGAGGCCGTTCTGCTGTGCGCGGCCCCAAGCTCTGTGAAGTAGAAGAAGCAGGCAGGTATTGACGAAGCTCGTCTTCCACCAAGGTGGCTTTCGGAGGGGAGGCGCACGAGCTCAAGCGCTATTCCTCCGCAGCGGACCTCGCTAAGCGGGGAGGCGCCCCGGCCTCACTGCTGTCAGGGGTGTTATGTATGTGTGTTTCTTGCGGCAGCTTGAGCTAGGTGCGTGCAGAAGTCGGCTTATGCTTAGGGCGCGTAGGCGACCTGACCATGAAGGCCCAACGCTTTGTTTCAGCTTGCCTTTGCCGCAGGTCTGAAGAACCGTGTCAAGACTGGCATCGGCGCCTTGACATGAAAGATCCGACCCTTCATCCGGCAACTCTACTCCCACTCACCAAGAGACAAGAACCCTACATTCCAAAACCTGAAGCCCGAAAACCCAGAAACCTCGAGCCCTAAACCCAAAACATCCCAAGACTAAACCCCCAGCGGCCCTTGAGATGATGAGGCTGTAGTCCCGGAGTTCTGCAGGACCCTAAACCCTAAATCCTAAACATTCCTAAGCCTTAAACCCTAAACCCAAAATTCTAAACCCTAAACCCTAAACACGAAACACTGCATGTAGATCGGCCCGGGCTTAGCTCCTTCAACAGCTTTATCGGGGACCCTAAACCCTAACCCTCTACCCTAAAACCCTCAACCCTAAACCCTGGACCCTGAACCCTCAACCTTGCCAGCCCAGGCATGGGCTACATTTGGCTGATCTACTTCTGCTCAATGGCTCTGGCTTTCTGGGGTGCCATGACGTTGATGTACAACGGGAAAGAGGTGAGCCTTTTTTGCACGCTGCTGTCGGAGTGAGAAGGGTGGTGCACATAAAGCATGCGGCCTGGGGGGTCATCATGAAGCGAAACCCCCCTCAATCCAGGCCTAATCCCTAAACCCTCAACCCTAAACCCTAGACCATAAACCCTAAACCCCCTAAACCAAGCCCTCAAGCTCGTATCATTGAAGAGTTTTTGAGCGCGCCAGGACCTCTCGGCCGGCAAGGTCTTGTCGGCCTTCATGTGCAGCCTGCCAAGATTTGGCCTTCAGGATTGTGGGTTTTGTTTGTTTAGGGTTTAGGGTTTAGGGTTTAGGGTTTAGGGTTTAGGGTTTAGGGTTGAGGGTTGAGGGTTGGGGGTTGGGGGTTGAGGGTTGAGGGTTTAGGGTTTAGGGTTAAGTTAGAGTTTAGGGTATGTACATACATTTGGAGACCATACAAGAACAAGACATATGTAGGTGCAGGTGGTGTGAGCTTTCCTTGTTGCCCAAGGCGTACTTTATCCGTCTGTACGCAGTTTGTCTGTCTGTAGGTATGTATATGTATTATAGTATAAGCTGTTTTTACAGCAAAGACCGCCGAAAGCACAATTCTACTTCAAGCCCAAATCTGGCGATCCCACATCCAAAGCCTCTAAATCCCATCCTTGAGGCTCAAAGGCTACAACCCTACCTTGAGAGCTCGAAGCCAAGATTTTGTAGTGGTCTTCTTGTGAAACCCTCTGTCTCCTAGGCAACCTACACCAAGTGGCCCCTGGGATCTTATCCAGGGTAATGTGATCTGCAACCTAAGACGCCCCAACCCCTCGCTTTTGAGGCCTCACGCGCCTCACGAGCGAAACCCGTGAGCCCAGGCATCCTCACCGTGGGCTTCATGACGCCCTGCGTGAGCTGTGGAGGGGAGGGGGTGGGGAGGCGGGAGGGTGTTGTTGGAGGTTTAGGGTTTAGGGCCTCAGTTTAGGGTTTAGGGTTTAGGGCCTCAGTTTAGGGTATAGGGTTTGGGATTTGGCGTGCTAGGCTGTGGGCCTTGCAGCCCGGTATGGGGTAGAGGAGACATCTTCGGGGGCCGATGCGCTTTGACCTCCCAAGTTCTGAGTCGTCTTCGACCCCCCTGTTGAAAAAACAAAACCTGGTTCTTAGTTGCCCTTTAAGGCATTATCTAGGGTACCTCATTCCCTCATTCCCCTCCACCCTCCACCCTACACCCTACACCCTACACCCTACACCCTACACCCTACACCCTAAACCCTAAACCCTAAACCCTAAACCCTAAACCCTAAACAGTAAGATAATTGACAGTTGCTGCGAGAAAAAGGTTTTGAAGCCAACGCTTCCGAGGATCGGAAAGATCGGCCCCGGCTTCGCTGGGGTGGCCGCGGCTCAGGTGCTAGGGTTTAGGGTTTAGGGTTTAGGGTTAGGGTTTAGGGTTTAGGGTTTAGGGTTTAGGGTTTAGGGTCTAGGGTTTAGGGTTTAGGGTTTAGGGTCTAGGGCAATCCGGGTTCAACTTGGGATGTTGCCCCTTATACTAGCAGCTCCTTCTTGGATTATGCTAGGGGGTACGAGAATCCCTATTCAGGACTCTTAGTATAAGGGGGGGACATCCCAAGTTTCAACATGGCCGTGGGGTTGCGACGGAAGGATCGGGCTTTCACTTTCACGCCCATTGGACCCTCGCGTGATCCCGCCCAGGCATCGATGGCGCGCTTCTTCTACGTCGCCGGGAAGCCCAGACGGTCTTTTGGGGCTACACTTCTTCAACCTTCAGCGCCAAAAAGAACCCCAAACGCTGGGGTTTCCGGCCGAGCGGGGCAAGAAAGGTTTTGAGAAAGGTCGCCCTGCGACTACGGGGAAGTTCGGTTTACCACACCCCGGAACTTCCAGGGTTGAGGAGGCGGACCAGAGTTCATGGATTCATGGGCTCGGCCCATTTAGGGTTTGTAGGGTTTGGGGTTTTGGGTCCCCATCAAGAACCTCGGGGTTCCTGGGGGGCCAACCTTTTGCAACGCACTGTAATCCGGCGATCGCTAGCCGTTGGTCATCATTTAAGACCGAAACGGGTCTTCTAAGTTCAGCCCTCGAGATTGCAGGTCAAGAACGAGTCTGTCATCCAAAAGCGCCGCCCGGCATCAAATGGTTAATCTGGAGGACAAGAGTCTTATGCCTCAAGTCGGCAGCAGTCATGCAGACAACACACAACGGCCAGCAGTTTTCCCACACTTCGCACTCCCACCAGCACTCCTGAGTTTTTGGGTTTGGGGTTTAGGGTTTAGGGTTTAGGGTCAAGCTTAAGGGTTTAGGTTTAGGGGAGAAGTTTGAAGCGCATGTCTTACTCAAAAAGTGCCTGAGACCAGCCAGTTCTCTTTCAGAAGCACATGCCCATTATGTCTTTGCGTACTTTCTCCTACCACAGAGCTGGGACATGACTTGACTTTTAGGGCTTAGGGTTTAGGGTTTAGGGTTTAGGGTTGAGGGTTTAGGGTTGAGGGTTGAGGGTTGAGGGTTTAGGGTCTAGGGTCTAGGGCTTAGGGTTTAGGGTTTAGGGTTTAGGGGACCTGCGTCCCAAAATTGGGACTTGGCTGCACTTTACGTCCCTCGGCAGAAGGTTTGCGCGACGACCGGAAGACAGTGGGACCCATTGAGACGTTGGAGCTGGACGAGGTGCACTTCGCGCACCTCGGACGCAGTGCTCGTAGCTTCGAATAGAGTAGGTAACCCTCATGAAGACCCTTTCTTGGGGGCATCATGTTCCCTTTATAAGTCTTATAGCTGCTTTAGCTTAGTAGTAGGGTAGGCAACATGTTACCCTTTGTTTTGAGGGTCTGATTCCCTTCCAAATTCCAAAGGTGAAACTTTAGTTTCCCGAAAGATACTGGACAAGTGAGTTAGGAGCCTCTGGCCGGTTTCATTTCATCCCTTTGACCTGGTTAAGGTGGTTTTGGGGAGTTTAGCCGCCCCCAAAAGCAGGGCGTTTGCCGTACCCTTCTCGGAGATTCCTCGAAGCAGGCTTTCTAGTATGTTGGGGGTATATCCCTAAACCCTAAACCCAAAACCCAAAACCCTAAACCCTAAACCCTAAAAACCCGTGAGCTATGCGGGTGCTAAAAGAACCCTCACAGAGAAATGGCCAGGGAAGATGGGCACTTTAGCCATGCAGAGGAGCCGACAACTGCATCTGTACATACGGTATGTATATATATATATGCATACATACATACATACATACACATAAATTACACATACATAGATCTATGTGTAATGAAGCAGATATGCTCTACAGCATATAAGGTAAGATGCATATACATACATATGCATATGTATATATATATATATGTGTGGGAGCAACTCTATATCTTGCTATATGGCTTTGCGCATCTCATGTTTTAGGCAAAATGGCTCGGGATTGAATCTCAGCATGAAGGACAGCTTGAATGTGCCCTCTTGGCACGAGGTATCCAGCTCGCCCGGAGATGAAGATCCTGCACGGGCTGAGCCTGACCATCAAGAAGGCCGGGCCACGGTCCATCTTCACAGGGTTTAGGATTTAGGGTTTAGGGTTTAGGGTCAGGCTTTAGGGTTCAAGTCGGGTTTAGGGTTTAGGGTTGAGGGCCGTTCACAAGGGTGTTTCTCCTCTCCAGCCCGCGAAGTGCAGTCAAGCTTGGGCGGCCTCATGGTTGCCCAGTGATGAGGGGGTTTAATTAGGGTTTTAGGGTTTTAGGGTTTTAGGGTTTTAGGGTTTTAGGGTTTTAGGGTTTTAGGGTTTTAGGGTTTTAGGGTTTTAGGGTTTTAGGGTTTTAGGGTTTTAGGGTTTTAGGGTTTTAGGGTTTTAGGGACCTTCGTGTGACCTGTAGAAGGCTTACTGTCAGGCGCAGATGGTGCTCCCGAGCCCCGTCGAAGTACGGGGTGTCACTCCAGCCCATGTGAGGGCATCTTTAGTCAAGCCCTCCGGAAGCAAAAGCCCGCAACCTCGAAGCCATTCCGCAGGGGCAGAAGGTGGCCGTGGTGGGCGAGTCTGGCAGTGGCAAGAGCACGATCATGGCCCTGCTTGTCCCTTGGGCTTGAAGATGAAAAGCAGGTGTGTGGATAGCCTTCAATCCTGAAGATTTGCAAGCCATACTTATTACATCTGATTACTTTCCAGGGGCCCTCAAGCCCGTGCAAAGACTGCTTAGGGTTTCAGAGTTTTTTTGCTGGGTTTAGGGGGACGGGGGCCGCCAGAAGCCCTCAACACTCTTAAGCCCTAAACCCCTCGACCTTCTGCTGTTTTTTCTTAGGGTTGGGAAGCTGAACAGGCCTTGAACTCGACCTTTTGCAGAGCCCTCAGCCTTAGCGTCCTAAATTCTAAAACCCTCTACACCCCATCGGCCTGCTTGCCGATCGCGTGCTAAACCCTAAACCCTAAACCCTAAACCCTAAACCCTAAACCCTAAACCCTAAACCCTAAACCCTAAACCCTAAACCCTAAACCCTAAACCCTAAACCCTAAACCCTAAACCCTAAACCCTAAACCCTAAACCCTAAACCCTAAGCACAGCGGCTTCGAAGCCGAAGTAAGAGGAGCGCTTCTACGACCCGCAACTTGGCGCGGTGCGCATCAACGGCGAAGATCTGCGGCACCCTGGCCGGGATTAGGGTCTGGGGTTTAGGGTTTAGGGCTTAGGGTTTAGGATTTTCTGATTGCAAAAAGGGGTTTAGGGTTGAGGGCTTTTGGGAGTTCAGTGAGGGCTTAGGGTTTCCTGCGTGATGTAGGGAAGGCTCTGCAAGCCCCAAGCCTTAGGCCATCCCAGTCAACCTGTAGCCGGAAACACTTGATCAACCCATCCGAGGGAGCTCAACATTGAGTCGTACCGCAAGCAGATCGGCTACGTCGGCCAGGAAAGCGCTGAAAGGTTTTTTTGGCCTGCTCAGAACAGGGTGTGGACACGTGCTTCTATGGTGACCCCGTGAGCAGTGTCTGCCCTTAACTGCTGCGTTCGCCACAATGTTTCATGTGCATCAGCTTACCCTTGACCCTGCAGATCATCGGCTCCCTTTCTCAGCTGGATTCAACTCTCCAAGCTTTGCAGTTGGTGCACTGATGGTTGCTCTGTTTTAGCCTTGAAGCCGTAAGCCCCACCGCCCCACTGGAACCTGAAACCCCATACCCTAAGCGTCCTAAGCCTTATATGCCCGATAGTGCAAGCCCAGAACCCAAAACAGGGGGGCTGCGAAGAAGGAGCCGGTGCTCTTCGCCACGAGCGTCCGCGCAAACATCCTGCAGGGCTGCCGCGATGCCACGGAGGAGGAAGTGCTGTGCCTGCTTAATCCTTTTCAGCCTCCAGGGCATGCGCGCATGCAGCCCAGATGCAGGAAGGGAAGCTCTCTGCCCATGAGATGTCGCGAAGCCTAAAGCCTTAAGCGACAAACGCGGCAAAAACACAGGACTTTGAGGCCGCTGCGCACAATGCGCAGCTGGACTTCGTGAAGGCAACCATGGGCAGGAGTTGGGAGCACTCTGGGTTTGTTCTGGGTAGATGCACCCGGGTCTCTGATTCTGCTGGAGATGGACCAGTAGACCCCTCATGCGGAGACCAATGTTCAGGCGCTGCCTGAGCAATTCGACACCTACGTCGGCTCCGGCGGGCGGGAGCCCGAGTGCCGGTGGGCTTGGGTTTATGGAGGGAGATGCTAAGGCAAAGGCTTGGTCTTCTCCGGCATAGCAAGGCCCGTGCTGCTTCCATGGGAGCTCTTTTGCTTGAGCCGCTTGAAGATTGCAAATGGCTCTTTCAGAAGTGACGTTCAATATCCAGACATCTCATCCGAGCCTGTTATGCCCCGCACCTTACTTCAAGCCTTTTGACCCCACATCCTATGTTGCGTCTCCAACGAAGGCCCGCCCAATCGAAGCCCCGCATCCAACAAGAAAACCACGTGATCAGGTCCCAGTTCTCGGGCGGGCAGAAGCAGCGCATTGCCATTGCCCGGGCGCTGCTGAAGAAGCCCTCGATCATGTTCCTGGCATCTCGGGCCTTTGTACTGCACATGTTCCTGGCATCCTGGGACTTCTAGCTGTGTAGGGTTTAGGGTTTTGGGACTGTGCCGGCCCGGTTGTTGGGAGGGAATGAGGGAATCAGGGGGCCCTACATATAACCGCCAAGGGAGTATATAGGGCCCTTAATGTTCCTCATTCCCTACTAAGAACTAGTGGGCAACTCTCGTTGGCTTGGTCGTTTGGCCTTTCTTGGGTCTGGGTTTCCACTCAGGATGAAGCCACCAGTGCTTTGGATTCGAGCTGCGAGAAACTCATCCAGCAGACCATCGACAACTTGGGCAAGTGCCTCAACTCAGCTCACAGGGTGGTGTGCCCAAGTGAAACAGGGTTGTGGCGTTTGGGGACAAGGGGCTCAACAGCATTTCGCCTCGGGGCTTCTGACAGTCTTATTGCGTGTAGTGACCCTTAGCCTCAGAATTCTTCCTGGCCCTGGCTGTGTATGACTTCAGGTGAGAGGCTTCAGATCCCAAACACCACCCCCTCCCCAAGCCAGGTAGTCCCCAGACTCCGACGAGCCCAAAGACTTCACATCCCGAACCAGGAGCACCTGGCTTGGCCGCATGACCATCGTGAGCATCGCGCACCGGCTCAGCACGGTGCCTCGTTTCAACGTGAGGGTGAAAGTTCTGGCTGCGTTGTGGGGCGTTTGGTGTAGATTGATGTTCTGTGTGTTTGCGCTTGGCTGAGGTACAAAACTCCGATGTCATCTACGTCCTCGAGAACGGTGTTGTGCCCTGGTAAGAAATGCTGTCGCAAGAGGCCCTCTTAGTAAGTTGCATATTCTTGGACCGTTAGGACTCAGCGACCCCGACCATGATCAAGTTAAAACGCAGCTAGAGGGCACCAAGCCAGAAACTCCTGAAACTCCTGGGGTCAGAAGAGTGCTTCCCAGGTGGCCGAGAGCGGCACACACAAGGAGTTGACGTCGCAGGAGTGCGCATTTAGTTTCCCTTCAGATGGTAGTGAACAGCACCCTCCGGATCCGGACGAAACCCCCAATTCAGGAACTGGGGCCTGAGCCCTCTCTTCTAAATCCTAAATCCTCCAAGCCCCCCTTACCCCCCAGCTGCTCTGGAGGAGGGCGGCATCTACCAAGCCCTCGCGGCAGCGCAGGGCGCAGTCCTGGCCCGGAAGGTGCACTGTTTCGGGATTTTCAGAGGGCCATGTTGTTAGTAGAATCGTTTCAGGTTGTTGGCATTTGTTGCGCAGGGCCATGGCTTGGAGGATCGATGAGGATTTCAGTCTGAGTGGGCTAAGGTTTTACTCCGAAGGTTTTGCTTTGTGGCTGTGGCTGTGGACCGTAGGTGAAGCTTCCGACATTCAGGGTCTGATGGCTCTGTCAAGGGATGTCAAGGGCTCTTGAGTGCAGCTTTGCTACAGCACTGCATCCCATGCACGTGCCTCTGTGAGCAAGGCGCTGCTAGGTGCGACACCCCCCCAACGCCCCCGCCAACCCCCCCCCCCCCACCCCCAACCCCAAGCTGAATTTTGGTTTTAAGTGGATGCCACCTGCTGCCAGATCACCGGAGAGCTGGCCCCGAATGCCGATGAGGCGTTTCTGTCAGCTTCCCCAGGTATTAAGAGGCATCCATAGCAATGGCAGTCGTCAAGTCGTAGATTGGTGTGCTTCCTCGTTGGGGAAAGTGGTGCCTGCTGCCCTTACATGTGCCAATATGCGAGGGGGAAGTGCCAAAGATTGTGTGGCTTGCCTGCAGATCTGCAGTGTCTTAGTCTTAATCTTCAAATGTCGCAGGCCGAAGGGAAACCCGGGATTAGGGTCTAGGCAGTGCAGCCATTCACCGGTAACTTTCCAGTCTTATGTGTTCTGCACATTGCCTGCCGATGAGGGCTACATGACCTTTTTTTTTTGGGGGGTGGTTCCGACCTTGCTTCTTGTACGCTCTAAACCTCCCTGATGCCGGCAGCCCAGGGTGAAGCCGTCAAGGGCAGCACACAAGCCGGCAGAGGTGCTTCTCAAGACTTGTCGTGGCTTCGGGCTTGGGGCTTGAGGTGCTAGGCCCAATAATCCGGATTCTTTGGTTGCGCCCTCTCCTCCCAAAACGCACCCTGCAGTGATAATAGTCATGAGGTCCATTTAAACAATTCTGACAAGGGCATGGGCTGGCGTGGTGCAGGTGCAAGTCATTGCGTTCTCGAAAACATGTCCGCTTTGGGATGCTTGAGCTTGGGCTTAACCAACAATTTGTCCTACCGTTTCTACAAACGTCCGTGTGATGGCAAAGGCCCCAAACAGTGGGGTCACGCCTGGTTTCGGCAGGAGACCGGCATGGCGCTTATTTCGAGTGGCCATGATTGTGGCCATGTCCGTCCTTCAGCTGAGCTCCAGCCCTGGCGGTAAGCAGTCGCTCTTTGCTGGTTGCGCAAGCTTCCTGGGTGGAGCTGCAATGAGGCCCCCCGTTTGCACAACTTTGTGGTTCAGGACGGCACGGGCAGTGCGGGAGCCGAGAGGCAGAGGTCAGAAGCCGCTCATTGGCGGGGGTGGTCGTGGTGGTGGCGATGGTGGTGAGAGTGCCGCTAAAGTACTGACAGCCGAGCTCTCCCGGGCAGCACCCGCCTCAGCGATCCTCAGCCTAGCAGGAAAGGAGGTCGACGGGTCAATCTTCAATTACTTCCACATGGCAGCAACATTCAGTCGATTGGCCAAGTTCAGCCAGCGGCGACAGCTCGGCCCAAGTGACGTGGCGAGCCCCGTGTGGCCAAGATTGGTGACCCGACTGCGCGCCATGCTCAAGAACAGCGAGCTCCCTGCAAGAGCTACTTCACAGGTGCTTTGGGCCATTGGTGAGCTTCATGACCAGCTGTATGGGAAGGTGAAGGAGTATGATGAGCGTCTGTTGATGGAGCTAATGAGGCACACGCAGAAGGAGGCAGGCGCCATGGATCCGCAGAATCTGTCAAACTGCCTTTTGACACTGGCCAAGTGCGGAGATGCAATGCCAGACATGCACGCTACCGTGAAGTCTATTTCAAAGCACATGGAGCGCAAGGTGAGGGACTTCAATCCTCAGGATTTTTCAAATAGCTTGTGGGCTATTGCGACGTTGCGAGATGCCTCACCTCAAATCCTGACAGCCGTGCCAGCCATCGCAGAGAGCCTCCGATATCAGGTAGAAGGCATGAAGACCCAAGAGTTGACAAACAGCTTGTGGGCAGCAGCGAACCTGCAAGATGCCGCACCACAGGTGCTGACAGCTGTGCCAGCTATCGCGGAGCGCATGGCGCAGAAGGTACAAGGTATGAACCCCCAAGAGTTGTCAAACAGCCTGTGGGCAGCTGCGAAGTTGAAGAAAGTAGAACCGAAAGTCCTTGCAACTGTGCCAGCCCTCGTGGCCCAGATTCCTTCTCAAATTTCTTCAATGGTGCCGGTAGCGTTGCAGATGTCTTTGTGGGCGGCCTCAGAGCTTGGAGAGGGCGACTTGGCGGCTCAACTTGATGTTGAGCTGGACCGGCGCAAGCGCTGAGGCCTTGAGCTCCGCAGAGCAAAGGTCAGAAGACGCTCATGTGTAATATGAAATCGTATGTAAATCAAAAAGGTGTATCTGCCGAAGCTGCTGGTTAAATGTATTGGTGGATTGCACATGTGGGGCTTAAAACTTAGCGGTTGTGGGGTTATGCAACATTAGTTGGCAGATGAGCCTCGAGACCTGCAGCAGTACTGCGCGAGTTCTGGGACCACCCGCTCGTGCCAGACCATGCAGGCGCACGGTTCATCTGCCAGTTGAAGCTCTTTAAATTAAAAATCTTTTCGGCCGCGGCCGGCGGGGTCCGCTTTGCACGACTCTGCACGGGCTCGGCACAGTGCTCTCCCGCAGATGCACGGCCAGGGCTTCAGTGCACTGGCGTGGGAAGCAGCACCGCGGCCGCGGCCCCGCGTACGGGGAGCTCATATGTGTTGTGCCACACTGTGTCTGGTACTATATACCTCCAAATACCGCTCCAAATGCTGGTAGTGAATGAGAGCTCCTACCGTGGTTTTTTCATTGTGGAAAGCCGCAAGTCTGAGGAGAGGAAAGATGCAGCTTCCAATGCCATGAAGCCTTTGTAGGAAGATGATAAGCTGTAATTAATAACGCTCCCGTAGGTTTCGCCTTCGTTTCGATTGTAGACCTATAAGTCCTACAGCCCTAGCAGGCTGCTCTAGCTCGCAGGATCCGGAGGACAGGGAGGCCGAACGCCAGAAGCGCATTGCCAAAAGCTACAAGGCGCGGGGCCAACTTGTGCCGAAGGTTCGGGTTTCCACGAGTTTCAAAGCATCGAACTCGGGGTTTCGGCTGAGCTTTAGGGTTGAGGGTCGCTAAAGAGCCGTCACCTGCCAGCCTGTTGAGGTTCCCAAGCTGCGCTTGCTGAGTGTGGGCCTCACAAGTGACACATCAGAATCGGACGAGCGAGCTCATCAATTTTCGAAATTTTATGTTGTGGAGGCTTGGAAGTTGAGTTTTTGGGCAGTGTCGGGCAGGTCACAGAAAACCCCAAGCTCTTGAATGGCCGTGTGAACACTGACAGCCTACAGTCCTAAACCCTATGGCCGGAGCAAAGCTTTGCCCATAATTCCTTGAATGAGCAAAGGTTTCCCCCGGCCACAGGTTCCATGAATTGAGCATGTCAAAGCCTTAGCTGAAAGGCTTGACGTGGCTCACCATGAGGAACCAAGTCCAAAGGATGCAAAAAGAGTTAAATTTAAATAGTTTACTTAGTTTAATTATGTTAATCAGTTTAGTTAGCTTTAATTAGTTTAATTGTTAAAGCCTCCAAGTGCTCGACCTTTTGGAAGCCCGCAACCACGGAACTGCGCCCTCCCCTAAGGCTTCTCTCGGCCCTACTGGTGTTGCTTCGTGCCTGGCCTGCTGGCAGCGCTGGCTGGGAGCTCAGACACACCTCGACCATCTTCCGAAGCAAGTCGCAAGGAGCCCCAATCTTCCATGAAGCAGGGCCTTCAGAAGCTTTGAAGCTTTTTGTGGGAGGTTTGGAGGGTTGGCTTTTGAGACTTCTGGGTTCAAGGAGGATTTCAGGATTCAGGATCCGAAGATACATGGCAGTTTAGGGTTTAGGGTGGTAAGCAGTTTCCAGGTTCAAATTTTATAGTTGTTCGGGGGTATGAGGTTTCTGCAGGATTCTCACTGGACACGTCTTGCAAGATGGTGGTACTCTAACGACTTGAAGGCTGCGTAGGAATCCCCCAAAGGTGACCACAATCAAGAGAACTGGCCATGTCGTTTAGGCCGCTCAGAAACCCAATCAGCTACACCTGACATCTTGGCGTCTTTAGCAAAGCGAGTCCAGGTGAGTGGCGCATGCTTCCCGATGATGGGCGCCTTTGTCCTCGTGGATGCGCTGTCTGCCTTGATGCAGGGCGACAAGGATCGGATCTTGGGAGTTGTTTCCACGGGAGCGCCCTAAACCCTAAAAACCTCAGATGGCAAAAACAGGCTTCAGAGAGGGAGAGGGAGAGAGAGAGAGAGAGAGAGAGAAAGAAAACTCGCGCGAGGGCCAAGAGAAAACAAACAAAAACAGAGAGAGCGAGAGAGAGAGAGAGAGAGAGAGAGCACTTTGGGCTATTCAACACTTCGGCATCAGGCAGCTCATTGTTGTCCGGGCCTTCCTACTCCCCAGTCTAACTCTGCGCGAGCCACCCCCGCCTTTTTGAAGTGCAGCTCAGCAGGAGCACATGAAGTCCCAAGCCGAGATGGCCGCACTTTGGTTCGTGCCCCTGGGCCACAGGAGTCACTACTTCCGCTGGACGTTTTGGGAGAAGTGTTTGCCCCTGACAAAAGCTGCGGTTCTTGCACTCCATGATCACCTACCCCAAAGCCTAGAACTCCCTCCTGTTTGAAAAAAACATAAGTCATTCTTAGTAGCCCTAAACTGAAACTCTCAAAGCCCCCCCCCCCCCTGTCAGCCAAACAATCAGACCCATGGCCCATGGGCCCCGAACCCAAGGATCGTGGGTGTGGCACGGTGCGTGGCCTCGACGCTGCAGTTCACGTGCTTCGGCGTCATCGCCGAGGCTTTACCGGGGGCAGCTTGGGGTGGCTTGGTGGGATCTTCGGGGGCCCGAAATCGGGGGAGTTGGGGTGCAGGGTTTAGGGTTGAAGGGCTCAAGGTTCGTGTGGAGGGCATGGGCTTCAGCAGTGCACGGTGTTGCAAGACTGCAGCATGCTGGTCCAAGGAAAGTAGCAGGGTTTGTACCAAGCTTGATTGAGGGCCCAGCCAAC